TCCTAAAGCCTCTTCCCAATTACTTTTATTAGTCTTCACTTCCCAATTACCTAAAATATCCCTCTCCGAAAGCCTCTTCCCAATTACTTTTATTAGTCCCCACTTCCCAGAGCTAGTTTAGGAACGGCCAGTCTACACAGAGTCGAAAGCTCCTGAGATTGGTAACTAAGCATCCCTGAGATGAGACCTCGGAAGACACTTCAGCCAAGCAAGCCGAAGACAAAAGATCTCAACCACTCCCGACCTCAACCATGTTAAAACCAAGGCCTGCAGCACCTTAAAAAGAAAGAGAAAAAGGGTAGCACACAAGCTTGGGACCAAAAAGCATACTTCCATTAATTAGCAAAGATTTGTACATAATTTTAGGCTTGGCATATTGAGTTTTTTATATAGGAAAAGAAGAAAAAGAATGGTCAACATTGCAGCAACAAAAGTGGAATATAACAAGACATGAACTCAGACTAGTATCAACAGCAGCAACCAACATGCACTTCAATCCTTGGCAGGGCAGTCGGCCTCTTCATTCTCCTCAGGCATGTCCATGGCTGCAGTGTTATCCTTTGTAGGAGGAGTGGTAGCATTGTAAGGGCCCCAGCCCTACGCAACCTCAGCGATGTCGGGGAAATGGCGTAACACCCTGTTCCGAAAGAGATTGAATCCCATCTCAAAGGAATGCGCAACAAAGTTGTCCATCACATACTAGTACTCCTTCGAGCCCTTGAACTAAGCAACCGCCTCCTTACCTGCACCTAAATAAGCACCTAACCAGTACAAGTCATAAGCTCGGAAAAGAAGAGTTTGATAGATAAAGAATTGAAGCGACGAAACAAACTGGCATCCTTGCTCATCAGCCTGGCATGGATCAACATCGAGAAGGACATGTAGCACATCACGTCAATCTCCTCAATCATGCCTATCGCTGCCCTCTACTCCTCAGTAAGCAGAGCCAACGCAAGCTGCAACGCCTTAGTCCTCGGCTCTTGGAGCACAGCTGGGAGAGGCGAACCTCTAGGACAACGCACAAAGAAGAACCTCTCCTTCCAGTGCTTTACAGAGGTTGAGGTCCTAACCAACACCTTGATGCGCTGCCTCACCGAGAAGTAGTAGTACCCTGCTAGTGGTGCTTCAATTGAAGGAAGTAGAAAACCATCCCCAAGGTAAGCTYGACATCATGGACAAAATAGTAGGAGATGAGGCCAATCAGGAATCTAAAGGAGTTCGACATCAAATGCGCTAGTAGCACTCGGTACCACTCAAACACCCCGACTACTCCCTCGTGCAACGGGAACCTTAGCCCGGACTCTAAACTCTTTTCGTACACATAGAGCTCGTCCGACCAAGCATGTGTGGGCCCCTCACCAGCCTTCGGACACTTGAACTGATACTCCTCAAGAATGTAGTACAGAGCTCGAATCCAAGCCATATCCCAAAGGTTCAAACATAATGGGGTGGTCCCAAATCGGCGACTCCTCCGCATAGGAAGCTCGACCTCATTAGATGACAGCCCCACCTTAGCTTCCTCGGCTCAGTAACCCTCTCAGAATCTAACCCCCCGAAGTCTTCGGCCTCAGCCCCTTGGCCCTCAACCTCGGGAACATCAAGCTCAGTAGCCTCGTTGTAAGACCCCAGCTCGGACTCAGAAGTGGAAGCACTATACTCGGAAGACAAATTAGAGGAAGAGGAAAAAGAACAAAAGGACGAGGAAGACATCTTACCTAGCAATAAGAAYGGAAGGCCGCGGAACTGAAGCAAACACCGAGCACCGAAGACTACTCCTCGTCGAGCTCTTCAAGTGACTTCTTTTGCAAATGACGAAGGGAAAATGCTTTTCCCCCCTATTTAAGGGTTCTTAACAGTCCAGATCAAGACAAGATCAATGACAAAGATCAAGTGCTGCTTTGATAAGATCGGGAAATGAATAAGAATTTCTACCCTTCGCACACATAAAGCCTCGAGAAATGAAAAGATGCCTCTGACAACCTTTTGCAGAGAAGGGATCTGTGCTAAAGTAACTGATCTGACCAGGAAAACCGGCCCAACCTCGAGCCGTGCATCCCAAATTGAGTGCCCAACTGAATTTCGACTTCAACTTCCTCATCCAAAGATCGAAGAACTCTAGCATGCCACGTCAAGGCCGAGCACTTCACTCATCGACTTCAGAAATGGGGGAGTGGTGTTCGTATTCTGAATTTTGACTTCAAGTTCCTCAGCCAAAGACTAAAGAACTCTTCCATGTCACGCCGAGGCCGAACACTTTACTCCTCAACTTCGAAACTGGGGGGTGTCATTTGTATTCTGAATTTTGACTTCGAGCTCCCTAGCCGAAGACTGAAGAACTCTTCCACGCCACCCCATGGCCCAGAATTTACTCCTCGACTTCAGTGGTTAACCTCATTCCGATAACCCTAAGAGCCTCATTCGACCAGGACACGGATCTTAGACTATAAAAAGGTACCTCCCGCTCAAGGTAAATGATCCAACTCTTAATTCCCATACCGTTGCTTTGCTCGATCCAACACCATTCCCTAACTACCTAGTCTGACAACTCACTGCTTTCTACTGACTTGAGCGTAAGAGTGTATACCTGGGGATAACTCCTCGGGCCTCTGATTCCTTTCTTGATTTTAGATCATGGAGTGTGGCTTCATCCTTCCACCTTGGCTCCACCCAGTTAGCAAGGATTATCTGGCTACTTCCTCGGTTCTTGCACCACCTAGGATCGAGCGACATTATATATATATATGGCTACTTCCTCGGTTCTTGCACCACCTAGGATCGAGCGNCCCACCTTAGCTTCCTCGGCTCAGTAACCCTCTCAGAATCTAACCCCCCGAAGTCTTCGGCCTCAGCCCCTTGGCCCTCAACCTCGGGAACATCAAGCTCAGTAGCCTCGTTGTAAGACCCCAGCTCGGACTCAGAAGTGGAAGCACTATACTCGGAAGACAAATTAGAGGAAGAGGAAAAAGAACAAAAGGACGAGGAAGACATCTTACCTAGCAATAAGAAYGGAAGGCCGCGGAACTGAAGCAAACACCGAGCACCGAAGACTACTCCTCGTCGAGCTCTTCAAGTGACTTCTTTTGCAAATGACGAAGGGAAAATGCTTTTCCCCCCTATTTAAGGGTTCTTAACAGTCCAGATCAAGACAAGATCAATGACAAAGATCAAGTGCTGCTTTGATAAGATCGGGAAATGAATAAGAATTTCTACCCTTCGCACACATAAAGCCTCGAGAAATGAAAAGATGCCTCTGACAACCTTTTGCAGAGAAGGGATCTGTGCTAAAGTAACTGATCTGACCAGGAAAACCGGCCCAACCTCGAGCCGTGCATCCCAAATTGAGTGCCCAACTGAATTTCGACTTCAACTTCCTCATCCAAAGATCGAAGAACTCTAGCATGCCACGTCAAGGCCGAGCACTTCACTCATCGACTTCAGAAATGGGGGAGTGGTGTTCGTATTCTGAATTTTGACTTCAAGTTCCTCAGCCAAAGACTAAAGAACTCTTCCATGTCACGCCGAGGCCGAACACTTTACTCCTCAACTTCGAAACTGGGGGGTGTCATTTGTATTCTGAATTTTGACTTCGAGCTCCCTAGCCGAAGACTGAAGAACTCTTCCACGCCACCCCATGGCCCAGAATTTACTCCTCGACTTCAGTGGTTAACCTCATTCCGATAACCCTAAGAGCCTCATTCGACCAGGACACGGATCTTAGACTATAAAAAGGTACCTCCCGCTCAAGGTAAATGATCCAACTCTTAATTCCCATACCGTTGCTTTGCTCGATCCAACACCATTCCCTAACTACCTAGTCTGACAACTCACTGCTTTCTACTGACTTGAGCGTAAGAGTGTATACCTGGGGATAACTCCTCGGGCCTCTGATTCCTTTCTTGATTTTAGATCATGGAGTGTGGCTTCATCCTTCCACCTTGGCTCCACCCAGTTAGCAAGGATTATCTGGCTACTTCCTCGGTTCTTGCACCACCTAGGATCGAGCGACATTATATATATATATGGCTACTTCCTCGGTTCTTGCACCACCTAGGATCGAGCGAAAATATATATATATATATGCTATTGTCTCTTCTTTGTTTTGTTTGGCAATACTTATCAATTGTTGTAGTTCTCTATTCCTCATTTTAAGTGACCATTTACATTTACTTTAGCATTGAGCTCTCACCCATGTAGACTCCATCTATTGAAATAAGAAAGTGGTGCATACCCCCTTCCCTCTCCTATCCGTGTTGTTGTAGTTCTAATACTCACAATTTGTCATTTCATCTCAAGGGTTTAGGCGTAAGTTTAGAATAGTTCAAAAAAAGTAGGGGCATTTTGGGATTTAAGTGAAAAAGGTAAGGGAATTTTGGGGACTTTGAGCACATAAAAACTCCTTATCAAAAGGGGAGTCCTAAGATTCCAAATCTAAGGTTGAGGTGTTTTTTTGGGATGAGGTCTAGTGGACACTAGTTTGAACGAAGCATAATGCAGTCTCAACTAGCCAACTAAATTAAAATGCTTGAAATGGAGTGCTTGAAATGGAGTCATTTTAGTTAGAGGGGTAAATGCAGTGGTTTTTGAGTGAAATTTGGAAGGTTCATGTTTATGGGGATTTTGAATCCGATAATGGCATCAAATTCACCTAAAAGCATTTGGATGGTAAAGATTTGATGATAGATTTTCTTGAGAAAAAAGGGAATCTAGAATTTAAATCTTGGTTTGATCGAAGATTAAATGAGAGAATATTGAAGTGAAATTTGGTGGGTAGGGATTTCAAGAGTATCTGGAGACTAATGGTAATGGTTGATTAGTCAACAAATGTGTCTAGGTTGTACATTTACAGTTCATATGCGTCTGAAATAGAATCTAGATTGGATTAGGGGTAACAATGAATATACTGAGGAAAATTTTATGGGTTAAGGTTTTAGGGTATTTGTTACCTGATGGAAACATTTGGAGCACTCAACTTCCTAGGACAAGGTGGCCAAAAATGGATGCTAACATCTGCCTCTCTCTTTACTGGAGGTAGCGAGTTGCCGAATGATAAAGATAGGAAGCACCCAAGTGGGTAAATATGGATGCTTTGGAATCAAATTTGTTGGGTAAAATATTTAGAGCGTTTGCGACTAGATGGCAATAATTGGAGGCTTGGTTTTTCAAAGAGAGGGTCACAGGGAGTCTTTAAGCAACATGTTGTTTAAATAAATTTTAATGCTTTGGATAGGCTTAAGAGTTTGGTTTGAGGCTTGGTCTTAGACTTAAAGTGGCAACCATCTAATTTTCCATCCTAGTACCTTCGTAGAATGGCCTCTCTTTTATATACCCCTTGTCACACTAATCCTCTCTTACAGGGAATTGTTATAAATGACCACATACCTTTGCATCCATTGGAATTGTTATAAATGACAACATACCTTGGCATCCGTTGGAGAGATAAGGATTCCCATGATAACCTTCCATACAATGACAGATGT